AAGGAAGGGCAAGTGAGAGAATTAAAAATGAATCCTATATTAGAAGCAGGAGCCTGAATCATACAGCAGCTGACTTTGAATACTTCTAATCTAATACACAAAGCAAAACTATAACTTCTAAGTATGTTTTCGTAATCTAGTTCCTGCTTAAACCATCCACTACGGCAATGTGTGTTCCACCCCCGAATGAACCCACAAACATTCTTAACACTCACGCCCCTGCAACAGAGTGATCCTAATTTTCTCTTGCAGGGAAAACTTGTTATTTTACTCTACTATTGAGATATATAAATGGTTAATGGTGATTGGAGTATGTTGTGGGGATAATTTGCAAGTACCCATTGTCTGGTCCATTTCAGATTTTTTATTCACAAACAAAATCCATGGAACAGAACTAGACCCTCTTTTAGGTGTGATGGCTTGCTCGGCCACTACATGGGTGATTTGCCATATTAACCTTGTTATATCAATTGAATGGATTCAGTCAAGAAAGACATTAGAGAGCTTCACTTCATATCAAGTACAGAAAGTGTTTGACAGACAGACATCAAAATTGTTTTCCTGTGAAGAGCCCAGAACGTAGAGAAAGAGACCAGGACTCTGTACGAGCACCGCACCACTCACGCAGGCTGGATGGTTGCTCAAACCTGATCACATGGGTGCCACAATACAGAGGAAGTTAGTCACACTGTTCACTACATCTTAGCATGTACGTTTTAGTTAACAACTGCTGTGTGTTCAGAGGTTTTCCGTCATGGTAGACCAATAACCTGCATGCTGACTTGACATGTACGGACAATATCATTGTTTGTACGATTGTAGGATGAGTTTGTGTTTTTTACTGGAGCTATTAGCTGCATGGGCTTCACTGCTTTCAGTACACTTAACTGCTCATATACCGAGCCCAACAGAATTGAATCCACAAGCATCCTGTAATTACAACTCGTTGCTATAGAGTCTGCTGTTGCTTCTAGTCAGCAGAAGTTGAATAATCTTACATTAATTCTATAATATAATACACTTTCATATGTTCAAAAAGGACAAACCTGACCCATGGTGAAACAGGTCCACGTACTATTTGGTAAATAGTGTCTGAGGAAATGCTTGGAAATCCCACCCCTGTATGTTTAGTTAAGCCCTGTAACATTAACACCCTCAAGGTACTAACAACTAAATGCTACAAGTAAACATGGACACAGTGAACCAGCTGTAAAAGAAAAAAAAAAGGCAATTGTAACAAATGTCGTTGCAGGGCTCCATCAATCACAATGGAGAACAATAATAACAACCTTATCTGGCATGAGCTGTTTACACTCCACTATCTTTTGTTAGGCACTTACTGTGCCGTCAGTCCTCTCCATCTTTTCTCCGCTCTGATACTGAGTAATTTCTGGGATAAAATCGACACATGAATAATTCACAACCATCTGCCACAGATCAGCAATCTGAATAAGACTCAAAAAAGTGAGGAGGTGCAATTCTTGTATTTATCTTTAAAACCAAATTCTCACAGCAGCCCCAAATTTTCACTTCAACACTGCTAAACTGCTATAACTTACAAAGACAACTGAAACTCCACACACACTGACCAGATAATCAAAGAAACTGCAAAGTATTGTGCTCCATTTGCCCATCACCCTTACTAAGCTGTTTACCCTTGGTTTTATTTTTTTATTTGTTGCATGTATGGTAAATTAACCTGAGGATCGAGGTCAGGGACACTCAGTTATATATCACCAGATCCTGACTAGACAAGCAGTCAAGAAAAGAAAAAAAAACTCGAAATTCTCTACAGACTGCAAGCTTAAGGCACGACTACCACCCAGCAATAACTATATAATCAGGGATGAGATCAGTAAAAACACAACTAATCCAAACACGCAATGACAAAACCCACGAAACTGGGCCTTAGCTTTCTTTTTGGTCAGATTACAAGCCTCAGAGGGGTTTAACAAACTCTACAAGGTCCCCAGCAGCAGGCGGCCTCTCGCTCTGTTTGGGTTCCAGGCAGGGGAGCCGCTCTGTATGACGATTTATTGACGCAAGATCCCCCTCAGCCAGGACTTGCCACCGATTACTGCCACTGGACCGGGAAGGGGGAGGTTGGGAATGAGAGGAGGGGTGAGAGGGGAGGGAAGGGTCTTATTGGGATGAGAGAGTTTGTCTGTGTGTGT